TAAATGCAATTTTAATAAGAATATAACACAAAAAATAGTATTACCTATTTGTTAGGTCTAACAACCCTCTTGTCTTGAATTCTTTTATTTTTATTATCTTTCTAAACCTTTTCAAATTACTACTAATACTTTTATCACCCAATTAGATAAATATTTCTGTAGTTCGCTAATAGAATATTTTGTAACTGGGCATAAAAATAAGAGATTAAAGAACAACTACGAAAATATAAGCTTTTAATTCAATCTTGAAAGCTCAAATATACTTAGTGATAGTTACCATATACTACTCTCTTATGTTTCCTAATTACCACATAGTATCATTTGTCAAATGATACTTCTTAATTACCTATCTTCTTAAAAGCAGCATTAGTTTTTGCTCTAAGTCACGCAATGTAACACTGTTAATTACTCAAATTTATTCAATTTCACGATCATTGAAGTGTATTTTAATTTATATTACTTTCATGCAACACATTGCATCCCCAGAATACCATGTGATATTTCTTCCTTTGCAAAACTTAGTGGTTAATTTAATTAAAATACAATATCTTGTATATGTTTTATATACATATAATTTCATTTTTTTGTAAACATTAATTACGTAGGAGACTTGCTTAGATTATAAAATGTCTGCCAATGAACTCTATCTCATTTTTATTAACTTCATTGCATAAGAATCGTACCAATAAATATTCAAACTTCAATTAAAAAAAAATATTTTTTTTCTAAAAATAAACTTAGTTGCACCGGTTCTATCTTTTATAAAATAACATTTTTATTCATCTGTCAATTCAATGTAGTATCTTCCTTCCTCAATGCGGTTCTTACATTACAAAAAAGTGCAATAGTTATTTGTTTTTTAAGTATTCAATTGAAAATTTTCGGGTAATCTTTTCGATTGCACATATTTTTTGTTGTTTGATGTAAATGATACAACACTCAATCCAAAAGATTATTATTTAATCGTGCACAAACACCTTTATAGAATTTCTACAATTATTTCTCTCCATTCTTAAAGAATATTTTGACACAACTGTTTATTTATTGTAGTTTATTCCTTTGAAATAATTTAATTAGTAAAATATGTTCTACAGTCTTTGATAAGTTGTATGCAACCTACTGCTTTTTACAAAATTAAGAAGCCAAAAGTTTGTAAATTTATTTGATATATCTATCATTAAAAATGAAAAAGAGGTTACCTAAAATACAACATACATACGCGAAAGTCTCGAAACTTTTATCTTCAAGATAGTGAGAGAAGCCCTACAATAGGGCTCAGAATGCTAAAAAAAGCGGAGAACTTCATATTTGATATCGAAGAGTACTTTGATGTGGTAGGGGAGCTAGAAGAAGCAATGAAGGTAGCTGTAACGATCCGGCCAATCGTTTTGAGAGTATTAACCACGATACTCTATTTATTGCTTTTCTCTTATCTTTTTTGCTTATGTGACTTGCCGGGAGGTTCTGTTTTTGGGTTCGGGGTGATTTGGGACACTTAGTACCTAAAACGAAAGCTTAAGTTCTAGGATATTGACCGTAGTTGGAACTGTATGAAAACGACTTCGGAATGGAGTTTCATCGATTTCGTTAGCTCTGTTGGGTGATTTTACACTTAGGAGCCCGTCCAAATTGTGTTTTGGAGGTCTGTAGCTGAATTAAGCTTGAAATGGCGAAAGTTAAAATTTTTGGGAAGTTTGATCGGAAGTGGACTTTTTGATATCGGGGTCGGACTCCGATTTCGAAAGTTGGAATATGTCTGTAATATCAAATGACTTGTGTGCAAAATTTGAGGTCAATCGGACGTGATTTGATAGGTTTCGGCAACGGTTATAGAAGTTTGAAGTTTTAAAGTTCATTAAGTTTGAATTGGAGGGTGATTCATGATTTTAGCGTTGATTGATGTGATTTGAGGGCTTGACTAATTTCGTATGGTGTTATAGGACTTGTTTGTATGCTTAGTTGAGTCCCGGGGGCCTCAGGTGGATTCCGGGTGGTTAACAGACTAAAATTGGACTTGTTGACGTTGTAGAATTTCTAGTATTTCCAGTTGTTGGTTTCCTTCTTCGCGGTCGCGATGGGAGTTCCGCGTTCGCGAAGAGGAGCTGGGGCAGGTGAGGATTTGTGCTTCGCATTCGCGATGAAGGTTCCGCATTCGCGAAGCTCTGAGGTAATATCTCTATGCGTTCGCGATGAGGGTCCTGCCTTTGCGTAGAGAAAGCTGGTCAACTGAGTCTCCAGGCAATTTGCCTACGCATTTGCGATGATGGTCCGATGTTCATGTAGGGTCGAGCAGAGTAAGCTTTGCGTCCACGATTAGGTCATTGGGTTCACGATGAAGAATTTTGGACTGAGGCAATTTTGTTCTTCGCGAACGTGAGGGTTCTTCCTCGTTCTTCGAGAAGGGATCACTTGGCAGTTATAAACATTTCAAAAACGAAAGCTAGCCATATTTATCAAAACTTGAGATAGAGAGCTCGGATTTGGATGAAATTTTCGGGGATTTTCAGAGGAAGCTTTTGGGTAATGATTCTTGACTCATTTATGGTTATATTCCGTTAATATATAGTTGATTCCATCCTTTAATTTCGAATTTGGGTTGAAAAATTAGGAAAAATGGGAAAAGTTCTTCAACCAAATTTTTGAGTTCTGACATCGGATTTGGATAATTTTGGCACAAAACTCGTGGGTGAATGGATGTTCAGATTTTATGACTTGTACCCGATTTCGAGACGTGGGCCCCGGTCGACTTTTTGGGGCGATTTTCTAATTTCTTGCTTAACCTTGATTTCATTAATTAAATTAGTTTCTTATAGTTATATTTATGGTATGTAATTGCTTTTGTCTAGATTTGGGTCATTCGGAGCGGGAAAATCGTGCAAAAGACATTCTTACTGATTGATTGAGCTTGCTTCGAGATAAGTGGCTTGCTTAACCTTATGTGGGGGAAATCTCCTTAGGATTTGGTACTGTTGTGATACTTCTGTAATATGTGAGCACCGTTTACGCGAGGTGACGAGTGCGCACATGGGCTAATTATTGTAAAATCCGATTTTGCTGAGTAATAACATGTTTCATCTTACTTGAGTTATACCAGCATATGTAGTTATCTTGTTTAGCCTAATATCGCATGTTTACGTGTCTTAATTGCTTATTTGAACTCCGTGCAGCATGCTTAGTTGATTTCCTATTTTTTCTTTATTTGTGTCAGTCTTAACTGTAGAATTCTTGCTGTTAATTGTTGTATTCATCGGTTTCGAGTTGTGCATTTACTTTGGGACTACGAGGCGGTACCTCGGGAGATCCCCCTGCACATTTACTTTTGAGATTACGAGGCGGTACCTCGAGAGATATCCTTGCATATTTACTTTTGGGACTACGAGACGGCATCTCGGGAGATCCTCTCCTGTTTTATCCCTGTGTGTTGTGCTGTTATTTTTCTGTGGTTTTCTCTTTGTTAAATTTTCAGTCTCTTATTACACTGCAATATTTTTTTTGCCTTATTTATTATATATACCAGTAGGGCTCTGACCTGACCTCATCACTACTCGACTGAGGTTAGGCTTGGCACTTACTAGATACCGTTATGGTGTACTTATGCTACTCTTTTGCACATGTTTATGTGAAAATCCAGGTACTTCGTATCAGCCTCGTCATCAACGAGCATTGAGACTTTGGAGACTTCAAGGTATATCTGTCGTCCGCATACCTCGGAGTCCCCCTACATCCCTCCTATGTCATTTACCTTTCCATATCTTTTCTTAGACTATGGTGTATAGAGATACTAGTTTTCTTCTGTAGCTTGTGATTTATGATTTCTGAATTTTGGGAATACTGTGTATACTCGAGTGTTGGTTATTGTTCATGCCGAGCGGCATTTTTATCAGTTATTTAATCTGTTGCAGTTAGTTGTTAAATTTTTGCTTTCATTTTCGTTATTCTGCAACTGTTAGGCTTACCTAGTCATAGAGACTAGGTGTCGTCACATCTTACGGAGGAAGAATTGGGTCGTGACAAGTTGGTATCAGAGCTCTAGGTTCATAGGTGTCGTGAGTCACAAGCAGGTTTAGTAGAGTCTTGCGGATCGATACGGAAATGTCTGTACCTATCTTCGGGATGCTATGGAACTATTAGGAAAATTTTCACTTTCGTGCAAAATTGTTAACTTCAAAATTCAAAACTTTTGTCTTGTATTCTTTCACATGACATCATTTGCTTTTTATGATTACAAAAGAGTTCAAATTTCAGTATCTTTATTCTATGTTTTTTAGCTCCAATACCTTTGAATAAGTTAGTTCTTGGATTTTCAGTGTCTACATTCAAAATTGCACCCAACTCTAACCAAAAAGACAATAATATGGGGGCTAAATAGGTCTTTTCGTGGTAGTGCATCGCCTATTAGCTTACTCTCTCTTCTTTCTTTCTTTTTTTCCTTGCTAACAAACACTATTCTTATTGCCCTATTTTCTTATATTTTGGCGATTTATGTTAAATAATAGTAAAAAATTTAAAAGTATTTGAAAAATATGCACATCATAGTGCATCCCCCGATTTCTAGTTATCAATAACACACCCAATATCTTATAATATCTTATAAGTACCATGGTCTTCATCAGGTTTAAACCGAAATTTGTTTTCATGTCCCTTCTAATAATAATATACTGTAGGGCTAAATTTCAAAAGTCGCTTGATATCTCCACTACACTTCACTCGCCCAATTCTAGCTCGTTGTCTCATATTTCCTTTCTTCACTTTTCTTGAAAATATCTTGGTAATATTTGCCCACTTTGATTTTTAGAATTTTATTCAAAGACAATTAGCAACACACACATTGAGTGTGTGACAATTTTCAGCTTTAGGAAAGGTTGAATCCTCTATGACAGGCCAAATGTCTGCTGAATTTGTCCATAGTTGTGAGCAGACAATAGTAGTATAAAGTTGTATCCCTCCTGTATAGATACAAGCATGGGAGCGATCTCCTGGTAACCTTGAGATCATATATATGGATTGGAAGCAAAATTTGATTTCTTTTTGCACCCAAGCTTAGAGATATATGCTTATTGATTAGCACAGGATTTCAGATATAAGAAAACAAAACAAATTGCTACAAAGTAAAGGAGGACAGAGAGGATAATTGACCCAATCTATCAATGTTTTCTTGTGGATTTGGGGGCTTTAAGCAATGGTCATCATTTGGATTGCTCCAATAGCTAATTACTTTAGTAATATGCAGAGTTCTGAAGCACTGAATCAACGGGCAGTGGCCGTGGTGGTGATTCCAATTCAGAGTTTCGATTGATCAATCAGCAAACCATGATGCCAAGGCAGACAACGTCGAATCTGGGGCGTCTGAACAAGCCCCATCTATCCAAGTCAGTAAAATTATTCATCTTCTTAAGTTTTTTGCAATCAAGTACAATAAAGCAGTAGAGGAGGAAACAACAACAACAACAACATACATACCCAGTATAATCCCATGGGTGGGATCTGGGAAGGATAGTGTGTACACAAACCTTACCCCTACGTCTCGGCTGTTTCCGATAGACCCTCGGCTAGTAGAGGAGGAAACAACTGGACCAAACAACCCACCATCTCCTACTTCCAGGGGCCAACATACTGGACCAATCAATGACAAGTGACGCCTGGATCACAGCACAAAAGATTATGTTACGTGCAAACGCATCAACTTTGGAAGTAATGAAGGAGAAACACTTAACAAAGATAAAGAAAAAATGCAAGAGTAGTAGTTTCATGGAAGGAACAATTGCAATATGTAATACCAAAAGTTAGATGGAAGAGGTGGCAATAGCTCATTTGGAAGACTTCTGAGGTTTGGATATAACTGAGATAAGCGATTGAATCTTAGCAACAGCACAAGTCTTCTCAGGGGGGCATTTGGAAAGGGCAACATTCAAAGAATTGACAGCTTTTTCAGGCTTCCCAGCAGCCATGGCAGCTAAACCTGCCCTATAAGCTTCATCTGCCCCTCGAGCATCATATGCTGGATTCGCACTTCTTGATGAATTCTTCTTGTTGGAGATTGGGGTACATGGGGACTGCAACAAAGCTGCAGCACGAGCATACTCAAGCGCAGATATGGCACTGTTTATCTGAGCCATTAGTGCTTCAGGTGTAGCAGGAATAGTTTTAACCTTATCAAAGACGCTCCAGTGAGCGCGCTCTTCTCCAGAGCCCATCTCCATCTTCCCAGTAGATAATGGTATTTCAAATAACAAAGTCTGTACAGCAGAACTCAAAAGTTGACTTCTGCAGTTGTAATTATTTTCGCTATTTTGTACAATGAAGTAAGAAGGCAAAGAGGTTGTATTGTGATAAGAGTATACAGAAAAGAAGCCTTGACAAGAATTGCAAGTATAGCCCCAACTCTATCCTGCCACTGAGCCAGATAAACAATCACAGGAAGTTCATATTGTTTACCCCCCTACTCAGTCAAATAGAAACACAAGCGAATGACATAGACGGTCAAGGGTTAAAGTGAAAAGGCAACTAGCATAGGTACTACTAAAGAAAAATTAGACTTAGCTGACCTTGGAGAAAAATGATTGAATTTCCGTTAAATCAGAACCAGCAAATGTCAAGCAAAGTCCACAGGAGCACATAACTTTCATTCTTGTTCCGAAGAACAGTAAAACTTGTTAAGCTAAACCTAGAACAAATGCACGAGCTAAACCAGTAATCTCTAGAGATGGAAATAGAGAAAGCAATTTGCTGCAAAACTTGAAACCACGTCCCCTTCAAAGTAATGTGGAGAAACCACAAAACGATACAGTCTTCTTTAAGTCAAGTTCCCGCATGCCTTTCAATGTTAGAGCGAGAAGAAAATATACAAATAAGCTTTTCCCTTTCTGCTGGAATAGTTGATAGCCTACCTAAGCGATTAACTTATCAAATGCAGAGGCTATTAGGAATGTGCTGGCTTTTATGTGCTTTCTTCCACCCTAATATTCATTCCTATTAAAGTAGTAGCATCGCCTATGCGACGAGAAAATATTTTCTAGAACATAAGTCATTTTTTGGTGTTTGATTGCCAGAAAATATACTTCAATCATACTTTTTTCCACCAGAAGGTAAAAATGACTTCTCTTACTTATGGACAGCAGTCATATTTCTTCACGACTATGTCAACTCTTAACCTCATATGAATGCTCTCTTCAACCAACACTTAGACATTATTATAAATCTTTACTACTCAAATATCATCAAAACATTATCTGAAACTCTTAACATTATTTCAATCTTTAACAAATGGCTTTTCATTCCGGAAAATATTATCGATCATTTTTTTTTCTGTTGAGCTCATTACTCCAACATTCGTTGAGACCCAACATGCTGTTAGGAGTCTTTTAGTGTTTAGCTTCCTAATGTTATTAGAGTTTTTTGTTTATCGAGTTCTTCACGTCATCAGAATTTGTTAGACTCTAGGAAACATAGTTTTAGTTTTAGACGTCGGTTATGTAAGGCTATATATAGCCATATTCGTTTCATAAAATCATTTTTGAGTTCCTCCTTCATATTTCTTCTCTCTGCTTCTGTTTTCTTTAGTTTTCAACATTTGGTATCAGAGCCTTGTCACGGCGTAAGAAGTCGCAGTCTTCTAAGTGTTTGGCAATCCAAATATGACACCAGAGAGTTCATTTGTCCAACCGGCAGTACCGAAGTTTGATGGGTACTATGATCATTGGGCGATGCTTATGGTGAATTTCCTATGATCAAAGGAATATTGGGGCCTCGTGGAGGATGGAATTCCTGCAGCAACAGAAGATATGACTGATGCACAGAAGAAGAACATTGATGATCAAAGATTGAAAGACTTGAAAGCAAAGAACTTTCTGTTTCAAGCATTAGATCGTTCAGTCTTAGAAACAGTTCTGAAAAAGGAGACCGCAAAGAATATATGGGATTCTATGAAGCAGAAATATCAGGGTAATACATGAGTTAAGAGAGCACAATTGCAAGCTCTTCGCAAAGAGTTTGAAATTCTGCACATGAAAGCAGGGGAAACCGTGAATGAGTTTTTTGCTGGAACTCTCACCATTGCTAACAAGTTAAAAGCAAATGGTGAAGACAAGGGAGATGCAGGGGTCGTGGAAAAGATCTTGAGATCCATGACTCCCAAGTTCAATTATGTTGTATGTTCCATTGAGGAATCCAAGGATACAAGCACGATAACTATTGATGAGTTGCAAAGCAGTCTGCTTGTGCATGAACAACGCATGAGCTCTCCAGTTGCAGATGAACAAGCCTTAAAGATTGCTCATGGAAAACAATCTGGTGAAAGAGGTCGAGGCTTTGGAAGGGGAGGTCGTGGAAGGGGAAGAGGCAGATTTGACAAAGCTACAGTGGAGTGTTACAACTGTCATAAGCTTGGACATTTTCAATGGGAGTGTCCACAAAAATAAAAAGCGGCCAATTATGCAAAAACTCATGGAGATATGTTGTTGATGGCGTATGTTGATTCAGGTGATGCTAACAATGAAGACACATGGTTTCTTGACTCAGGATGCAGTAATCATATGTGCGGAAAGAAAGAATATTTTTACGATTTTGATGGAAGTTTTAGAGATTCGGTGAAGTTGGGTAACAATTTAAGCTTGAGTGTAATAGGAAAGGGAAATATAAGGCTTCAGGTGAAGGAAACAACACAGGTTATCACAAGTGTGTTTTATGTACCAGAACTGAAAAATAATCTATTGAGTATTGGACAGTTACAAGAAAAGGGGCTTGATGTTTTGTTTCAACGTGGTTAATGTAAGGTGTATCATTCTGACAGAGGCTCAATTATGGAGACACAAATGACTTCAAACAGGATGTTTGTCGTGCATGCTGTATCTCGACCAATAACATATGCTTGTTTCAATACTATTACAGAAGATGCAGTGCAACTTTGGCATTGTCGGTATGGACACTTAAGCTTTAAAGGCTTACAAATTCTTCAGCAAAAAGGCATGGTGCATGGTTTGCCGCAACTCAAGTCTCCTCTGAAATATGCAAAGACTGTTTGGTGGGAAAGCAACAACGTGATCCATTTCCAAAGAAGAGCAATTGGAGAGCTTCACAAGCTCTACAACTAATATACGTTGATATCTGTGGTCCGATCAAGCCTATATCTAATAGCAAAAAGAGGTATCTGCTCACATTCATTGATGATTTTAGCAGAAAATTATGGGTTTATTTTTTGACTGAGAAGTCTGAAGCCTTTGCTATTTTAAAAAGAATTAAGACTCACGTTGAAAAAGAGATGAATTCTTTTATTAGAGGCTTTCGTACAGATCGGGGAGGAGAATTCACTTCACAAGAATTCTCTAGCTTTTGTGATGAGAATGGAATAAAGAGACAATTGACAACGCCACAACAAAATGGGGTCGCGGAGCGAAAGAATAGAACTATTATGAATATGGTTCGTAGCATGCTATCAGAGAAGAAACTTCCCAAGACTTTTTGGCCTGAAAATTATGGGTTTATTTTTTGACTGAGAAGTCTGAAGCCTTTGCTATTTTAAAAAGAATTAAGACTCACGTTGAAAAAGAGATGAATTCTTTTATTAGAGGCTTTCGTACAGATCGGGGAGGAGAATTCACTTCACAAGAATTCTCTAGCTTTTGTGATGAGAATGGAATAAAGAGACAATTGACAACGCCACAACAAAATGGGGTCGCGGAGCGAAAGAATAGAACTATTATGAATATGGTTCGTAGCATGCTATCAGAGAAGAAACTTCCCAAGACTTTTTGGCCTGAAGCAGTCAATTGGACAGTCCATGTCTTGAATCGGAGTCCGACATTGGCAGTAAAAAATAAGACACCAGAGGAAGCATGGAGTGGATACAAGCGCTCAGTTGAGTACTTTAGAGTTTTTTGGTGCCTTTCTCATGTTCATGCGCCTGATAATACTAGATCAAAGCTAGATGATAAGAGTTTGTGTTGTATTTTGTTGGGAGTCAGTGAGCAATCAAAAGCTTATAGACTTTATGACCCAATTTCACAAAGGATCATTATAAGCAAGGATGTCATGTTTGAAGAAGACAAGAGCTGGGATTGGGATAACAAGCATGAAAAAATAATTATGTGTGACCTGGAATGGGATGAACATGACGACGAAGAAGCTCAACGTGAAGAGGAAGCAGCTCAACCAGTTCCTGTCACCGATATAAGGGAAGATAATGAACCTGGTTCGGAAGAAACAGAGGAAATACTACCTTCCTCCGACCCATTGTCTTCAGACCATCAATCCTCTACTTCAATACAACAGAGGACTAGGCTACCACCGGTTTAGATGCAAGACTATGAAACAGGTGATGCCATCTCAGAAGAAGAAAGTGATATGGTTATGTTTGCAGCCACTAATACTGATCCTATTTATTTTGAAGATGCTGTGAAGAGTGAAAAGTGGCGGCATGCCATGGACGTTGAGATGGAAGCAATAGAAAAAAATGGTACATGGGAATTAATAGATTTGCCTGAAGGAGGGAAAAAAATTGGAGTTAAGTGGATTTATAAAACAAAATTTGATGAAAATGGAGAAGTAACTAAATACAAGGCTAGGCTTGTCGTGAAGGGATATGCCCAACAACATGGGGTAGACTATACAGAAGTATTTGCACCTGTGGCACGTATGGAGACAATTCGATTGGTAATTGCGCTTGCAACTCTAAGAGGATGGCCTCTGTACCAGTTAGATGTAAAGTCTGCATTTTTACATGGAGAATTGCATGAAAATGTTTTTGTGGAACAACCTTGTGGTTATGGGCAGAGGGAAAATGAACAGAAAGTATATAAGTTTAAAAAGGCACTTTATGGGCGCCGCGAGCTTGGTACAGCCGCATAGAAGCCTATTTCATGAAGGAAGGTTTTGAAAAGTGTGACTACGAGCATACATTGTTCATCAAGACAAGTAAAGATAGCAAAATATTAATTGTAAGTTTATATGTTGATGATCTTATATTTACTGGGAATGATGAGTTAATGTTTGCAGAATTTAAAGGTTCGATGAAGCATGAGTTTGACATGACAGACCTTGGAAGAATGAGATATTTCCTTGGTTTGGAAGTTTATCAAAGATCAGATGGAATTTTTATTACTCAAAAGAAATATGCATTGGAGGTACTGCAAAAGTTTGGGATGGATAAAAGTAATTTTGTCCATAATCCAATTGTTCCTGGCTTTAAGCTTATGAAAGATGCGGACGGGATCAAGGTAGATAAGACTTATTATAAGCAAATTATAGGTAGTCTCATGTATCTCACCGCAACTCGACTGGATATGATGTTTGTGGTGAGCCTTATTAGCAGATATATGGAGAATCCCACTGAACTTCATTTACAGGCGGCAAAAAGGGTGTTAAGGTATTTAAAGGGGACAGTTGAGTTTGGCATATTTTACAGGAAGGGAGGAGATGATGAACTTGTTGGTTACACTGATAGCGATTATGCTGGCGATTTGGAAGATAGAAAAAGCACACCAGGCTATGTGTTTTTATTGAGCTCAGGGGCAGTATCTTGGTCTTCAAAGAAACAACCAGTAGTGAGCTTATCTACTACAGAAGCAGAATTTATAGCTGCTGCTTCATGTGCATGCCAAGCTGTTTGGTTGAAGAGGGTATTAGAAAAGTTGGATCCTAATCAAGGCAAGACATCTATTATTCACTGTGATAATAGTTCTGCAATTAAACTTTCAAAAAATCCAGTTATGCATGGTCGCAGCAAGCACATAGATGTGCGTTTTCACTTCTTGCGAGAACTCACAAAAGATGGCACTGTGGAATTGGTTTACTGCGGTAGTACAAAGGAACAATTAGCTGATGTGATGACTAAACCCCTCAGGCTGGATGTCTTCTTGAAGTTGCGAGAATTGCTGGGAGTTTGTTTTAAGTCTAAGATAAACTGAGTGCTCATAGCTTTCAGTTTAAGGGAGGAATTGTTAGGAGTCTTTTAGTGTTTAGCTTCCTAATGTTATTAGAGTTCTTTGTTTATCGAGTTATTAGAGTTCTTTGATTATCGAGTTCTTCACGTCATCAGAATTTGTTAGACTCTAGGAAACATAGTTTTAGTTTTAGACGTCTGTTATGTAAGGCTATATATAGCCATATTCGCTTCAATAAAATCATTTTTGAGTTCCTCCTTCATATTTCTTCTCTCTGCATAAGTTTTCTTTAGTTTTCAACACATACTACTTGTTCAAATTTCAGATAACAAAACAGAAATAACCAAAAAACCCATCAAGAAAAATGAAAATTGAAACTTTTTCAGGAAAAAAAAAAAGAGTTGGTATTTAAAGGCACTAAACCACTGTTAACAACAAATCCATAAGATTAAACAATTGCGAAATTTGCAAAATTGTTATTTGGATTAAAAAAAAAGAAGCAGAAAATAAGAAGAGACTGGGAAAAGAATGAACCTTTGAAACTGAACTGTATCAAATAGTTTGAAAGCCTCTAAGCTCGCGAGGGCTGATCACTTCTCCTATTCTTCCTCTCTCTTTACATTCAAGGAACTCTCTCTTGTTTCTTCTTTGTGGTAGGTTTGGTAGACTTTCCTCCCTATAAAATAAAATAAATATCTGTTTTCTTTTCATAAACATATTTGTTTGATCACTAAAATAAATAAAAGAGTAATTTTCAGAAACCACCTATTTAGTGGCTATTGACTTATTATAGTTATCATATAAATAATTACTTTTTATAGCTACTATTTATTTATAATGGTAGTGTATTCGCGATATTGTATTCACGAATATAGCAACAAAAAGTGCCTAAATATTAGGGCATTTCAGCTATACGAGCATGTATTCACATGTATTCATGAATACAGTAACGGCAATCACCTTTAAATAAATCTGTCCAACTGTCTAATAACAGAAATAATATCAATTAGCGTGATACACTCCTAATATAACTCAACAAAAATCAATTCTAACATGCCTCATTATCAACCCAATTAATTAGAATAAATTTTCAGTTGTATATAACTGTTGTATTTAATTTTTGTATTTAGTGTGTTTGAATATTTTTTTTTTATTGTTGCATTCATTAGATTCAATGTTTTTATTTACTGTATTCGCTATTTTATATTCAGTGTATTCAAATGTATTTGTATTAACATTATTTTAGTTATTCCTAATACATGTTATTACTGTTGTATTCAGTATATTTCATTGGTTGTATTCACTGTATTTCTATTTGTATTCAGTGTATTTTACTGTTTTTCACTATATTTTAAAATTAAATGTATTCACTGTTTATATTTTGTTCTATTTTAATGTTTGTATTTAGTTCAATGTTTTTATCCTATATTCAGCGGTATTAAAAAAATGCAGATCTTCGAAATACATAAATACAGGTAAAAAAATGTATTTATACAAAAAATACAATGTGTTTGAGTGAATTTGTAAAGAATACAATATATTGTATCATTGTATGTGGCTAAATTGCAAAGAAGAGAAGAAAGTTCATCGGAGATGGCATTTTCCGGCCAAGTAAAATACTCGTTCATGTTACCGTACCCATGCTCTACTCGGATTATCCCAATATCATTTTTGCTCCCCGCGCAGTGGCCCTAGCCTCGGAGCGATGAGAGAGGAGAGAGACCACATTGATTAGAAAGAAATATGTAAGAAGCCATTTGCAATAATCAAACAGCAAAAGAAACTCTTTGTTACAAATTATCTCATCTGAAGGAAGTTTCAAGGCATAAAATAGCTAGATAAGGTAGGGAAAAGGGGAGAAACTCCAATATGTATCTTTCATAAGAATGTCTTCCATGTAGTTGCACATTAGATAACGAGAGATTTGAAGAGTGAAACGCTGCATATTATCTCAGAAGAGAGAGGAGAGAAAGAGAGAGGAGAAGAAAAATTCTACAGAGAGAATTGTGTGTTAATTGAATGAAAGAGAGGAAAATCATAAATAGCGTATTTCATGCCTCAATTGTAGTATATATCATACATACCTATTTTGATATAAAATATAAAAGGTAGCTATAGTAAATAATATTTTAAAATAATTTTGATTTATAATAAATAGGGTGTATACCTTTACCATAAGAGGTAAAATTAAAAATCAGCCCACCTTGAGATATCAAAGATGGCAGGAAGCGAATTTATTGTTTGAAAGGCATAATTGATCTAGTACCAATACGTGGTACCTTTTGGGCAATACAATAATGTAATAACTTTGATATTACATTCATCAGGTGAAAAAAGCTTTCAAATATTTCAACCACATATCCTTGGCAGTCAGTCAGTCAGTCAGCTTTCTAACTTAAAGCTACCAGTACCACTCTAACCACCATGTGATACAAAAGAATGTTACACTCAAGTTCCAAGCTTCATGACAAAAAGAGAAGCAGCTGTGCTTAGAAACTGCAGTTCAAGAATTCTGATGGCACAACTATCCCAAGATACAGTGGCCTCACGTGGAACTTATACGACATCACAACACTGTAGAAGCCCCAAGGCCTCAAGACTTAGTAACTATATTTTGTTAGCGGGAAATTATACACTGACAACACCAGACATCCATGGAACAACAACTGGTGCATTTGGGTGGGCATTTCTGTATGATTCAGAATACCGGTCCTTAAAAGTCGTTTTAGGTTTCTCTGCCTGCATTTGCAAATCAAAGGGACCGCTTTAGTCATCATTCTTAAATTATCAGACATAAGGAGGAGAAAAAGCATGGTAGGTAGTAAACTTAAATGAAGGGGGACCAAGAACTAACATATTTCAGCCAGCACTCCTGATGTTTGTGTTGATAAATATCCGGAGAATGGCATCCTGTCTCAGATGGGCAATAAACCCATATGTTGCATTTCTTGTCATTAGGTCCAGCATTGTTAGCTTGATTCAAACAGGCCATGCAACACTCATATGCAGATTCCTTTGGGTGGGTTAGGCCCCACCTGACGGCATCGCCACCGTAATCAGTATGAAGTTCAACGTTACACTCAGGAGGAAGCCGCCTGCCAGCTATAATTTCATTGTCTGGAGAATGGAAGTGAATACTGGGTTAGAAACAAGAAAGCAAAATCTTCCCCAGGGAGCTTGTTTTGACAGAGGAGCAAGTTAGTGACTGAAAATAGTTCATGTTACAGTGCTCTAACTGCACAAATTAAGCGGAAATACTATCTATCCACCATATTTTACCTTCTCCTATCTTCTACACAGAAAACAACTACACTTCCATCGGGAAATAAACATAGGGAATAAAGTGAATAATTTATCTGAATCAAAACAATAAACTCAAGATTTTGACTGAAAAATGAAGTACGTCATTACCAAATTCTTCTTCACCCTCAGGTTTGTCATCATGTTCCTTATTAATTATTGCAACAGGTATCCAAAGACCAATCTCCTCTGCAAGATCAGCCCAGTCAACATCCAAAGCTTGTGCAAGTACACCTGCAAGCAAATTTCCTAAGAACTATTAAATTATCTTGTCAAAGTACATATGGATTATGGGCTGGGAAAAAGAAACCCCAGTTAACATCAGCTTATAGCTCAATATGGAAAGCGTGAACAAAAACTGAGTTATAAAGGAAATAAAAACAGTCATAAGTAAAAGAACGTACTAGCTTCCTCTGGGGCAATAGTTGAATTTGACGTCTTCCTATTAATAAGCCTCCTGGCTTCTTTTAACTTTTTCCTGCGCCAACTTTCAACTGCCTCTGTTCACCAGAAACAACACCAACAATGATAACCAGGAAGAAGTAAATGAAAAACAACAGAAGGAATACTACTGAACTTAAAATGATATTGATGTTCAATATTGACACATTATTCACAGAGCACTAGAACCGACAAAGAATGTAATAACAAATGAAATCAGTAAACGGTAACTACTATATTTGCATAGACATGTATCCTTCAAGTAGTACTCTTGAAGAATTTGCATTTAAGTAGATCATCCAATTTTTGTTGCACAAAAAGACCTTAGTCCAATATAGAATAATTTACTCATAAAAGCAATCATGTCGACTTGTTCAGAAATATTGCAGTTCTAAGTGATATCTTTTGTTGGGAACAGATATATGAAATAAGCATCTTTCATGACATACTTTTGAACTCAATTTATCAACTCAAGAATGAAAAATATGCAGGTCATCTAGTGGCTCCAATGAAAGTGAAACCACAGAGGTGGTGGGGTTGGGAGATCATTTTTCATTAGCTTTTTGCAACTGATGGTGATTGCAGAAAATAGCTCATGGAGACAGAAAAATAACTGCATGTTTGCATTTCCCAGTAACTTACCCCTATACAAAAGTTTAAAAATTAAAAGAATCTTCTTTTACTGCGGTTATTAAAAAAAAAAAGAATCTTTTACCGTGATTTTCTCATACATTTTCTTAATCATAAGATTTACGGGCAACAATATTATTATGTAGTTAATATTATAAATTTGAGTTTGAGAATATGAATTAATCAATGTCCAAACCGATACCGATGATCAGTAAATTGAACCTTGTAAACCAATTCAGATCAAGTTTTCTAGAATGCAAGGAATATCGTAATATTTATTTGCCTCTAACTAGAAAATTCTATGCTGCATAAAGCAAAGGCAGTAGGATTTGGCTCAACACTTTCCAGAACTCTAACAGTCTTAACACTTCTTTAGATGTATGCTAGTACATCAACTCTTCTATTATTATAATTTTTTTGGATATGGTATAAAACCCCAATCCCACAAACCACATATCAAAAGCCTCACAGCGGCCATCTCCCACTTTTGCTTCCTTGATGACTCGACCCGCTAACCTTATGCTTGGAAGTGGAGGTGGAGGTGGAGGGTGGTCCTTCCCACCGACTCTCAGTTCTAGCTCATTTGGTTTAAAAAAAAAAAAAAGGCAGCTCGGTGCACTAAGCTCCCGCTATGCGCAAGGTAAAGGGAAGGGCCGCACCACAAGGGTCTATTGAACGCAGCCTTACCCTAACTTTGGTAAAATGTAAGTAAATAAAAGAAATTGGCACCAAGCTTGCCGAATGTCAAGCCACTGCCAACACCACAATTAGAAAAAATTTATTGCATGCTAAGCTCAAGAGGACTAACACTCGATTAGCATCTACTATCTCCATTTCAATTCATGTGGTGGTGTTTGACTGGACACGATGTTTAAGATATTCATTTGACTTATTTATATTACTTGTAGTGCAAGAAAATAGTATGTAATGGCTGAAAAGTTAATTTTGATAGAGAAAACATCATTGTAGATTCTCAACTTTTTGGTATACCTCTTGTAAACGGGAGCTTTTCCCAAATTCAATAAAATTTCTTACCTTATCTAAAGAAATATCACTTCAAAGAACTGCATCTCTTTAAGCCTTTTCTTTTCATCAAACCTTATAGAAGTGCATTGGTTTACTAACAGGTAAGGGTACCTTAATGGGGAGGGATTTTACTTGCTTTTTGTTTCAAATTTGGGGAGGTGCTATCATAAAGATGAAGTAATACCAAGGGAATCAGGATAAGTAGATCATAATGCGGGTGATTTATTTTATCAAATTTTGTGGAGGCGTTAACAAACAGATGCAGTAATACCAAGGGAAATCAGGATAAGTATATCATAATACGGGTGATTTATTTTGTTAAATTTTGTGGAGGCGTTAACAAACAGATGCAGTAATACCAAGGGGAATCAGGATAAGTATATCATAATACGGGTGATTTATTTTTTAAAATTTTGTAGAGGCATTAACAATGCAGGTCTTCTATATCCAGGAACGTTTCATAAGATTAAGGGCATGATTGGAGTTACAATAATTAAATTTTGCCAAGCATAACAAATAATTGTTAACTCATGTTTAACAGTAATTGTCAGGGTACATGAAGACATAGAAAGAAAGCCAGTTGAAGCACCAAGTAAAGTAATGAAAAATATAAAGAACTTGCATAATTGAGGTCGAGTGATGAGAGGCAAAGGGGAAGAGATCGAGGGCAAACTAAGTTTTTATCCTAATAACCTAATAATCATAGAA